CTCCTACAACTGTTATTTTATTTGTTTATTTTCACATTTTTGTATGAGCACCAATAAGCTATGGTAAATATACCGTAGAAGCCGAGTTAAGCTGAAATGGTGTGGCAATAGTGTAAGTGGTAGCAGGCGTAAGTTGGCCAAATGAGGAATTCATTTTCGCATCTCTCTCGGGGCGAAGAGTTTCGCTCGGAACAAAGTATTCTGTGATAACTTTTGCTTGGCAACTGCGGCCAAAAATAGGAGCTAGCATTGGAAAGCCTATATTCATGCTTTCAGATTGCATGTTATAAGTGATTAAGAGGTTTGCAGTCAGCTCGTTTTGGACTCGGATTAGCGGAATGGGCACATCTGGAAGAATGTGAGTTTAAAGTTTGGATCCCCATTATCCCTCGAAGACAAAATGGGTGAAGCATTCAAATTCCAACAGTCTTGTTCCAAATCTGTTCGAAAAACGAATGCGCTGGGTAGCTCAGACTAGTTAAGGATGCCAAAGCATTGGATCATGCAAGCACGCTTGGATTGCTTATCGGTAGCAACAGAGTCACGCCTGGGGCTGAGGCTATCAGCACAGAGATCATCTACGACGAAGCGGTGTCCGGTACGTGATAGTAGCACAAATGCCCGGTAAGCAAGAGATGCGAGTTCAAGTCCGCATAAGACTTGTTTTTGCCCACAACTCAGCATTCTTGAGAAATTTCGCATCGCGAAGTGTGTCGCAGCGAACAAAGAACATGTGAAAATTACAATTTCATATGATCGACCAACTCTTTGACGTCTCACAAGACCCACTCCAAAGTCAAACAACATTTTCGCAGCAAAACGTAGTCTTCGGACAAGGTTTGGCCTTTCAATTATGTTTCCAAGATAGACTGCGGTTGACGCTCGCAACGGTTTCAAGAACAATATGTGAATTTTTACATATGATCAGTCCAGGTGGTCGTGCGACCTAATTCTTTCCCTATTTTATCCCACCGGAAAGCAGCGTTACTGCAGTACGTTAAATCTGCTCAGATTCGTGGACGTTTTGGTGGATCCTTTTTCTCTTCGCATTGTTTTTCGCCTATGGAAGAATGTAAACTTACCGCGAACACCTCGCATTTTTCTGGTATCACCGTGATTTTCTTGGCATTCAGCACGATACTTTTGGTTGGCTCCACTACCACCATGGAAATTCCCACTTGCCCATCGAATGTGAGATTTTTCTCTGGTGGAAATTTCACGTACCCAGGCAGATACGTTTTGATGGTCAAATCGTACAGTACTGAAACAAAAAAGCATCAAATGGCAGGATTATGATTATGTCTACTGCTGCGGTATAAATGTCCTTCTAGGTATTATGAATCTGAGTCGTCAAAATAATAATATTTCTACTTCCAGTACAATTACCCTACATATGTAGTATATCTGCTGCACCGCAATTTGATACCTTACTACCCAAGAACAAGTAGAAATACGCTCTTCTGAATAAATTCCGAAAGCAGCTTCTCTTTTGACTAGAAGCTTTTTGGAGGTATTGAGTCCACTCGCCTAGAAATGGGTTCAGGAGCAGTTAGCAGAGATCGCAGCTTGAAGCATTAAAAAGGGAGGGTTCCTTGCTTGCCAATTCTCTACTCTGAAGTTTTCCTCAAGTTTTCTTCCTTCCTCGATCGACTGTGATGTTACGGGATCGCTGCGCCCAGCTCTTCTCGATGTAGTTGTCCTACAAAACCTGGTCGCTACATGCCATTTCCACGTTTCCGATGGTGAGGCCCCAGATCACGGTATCAAAAGATGCATCAGGTTCTAGGCTCAAATAATAGGTCGGCAGTCTTTCTTGCACCGACTGCCCCATTTTCGCCCCTCTTTCACCTCTTTATTTATAATGCATTTGTAATATACAGGGTGCGCCAAAATTACGGAGACAACGCATGAGCAAACAATTTGAACTGATATTCACAGATGCTGTTTTCTTCTGTCCTAGTTTTGGTACTGTGGTGTAGAATTGTTTATGCTTACCTTGTTCAACCACCAAAATCTATGGTAGCTGCAGCGGTTGACTGATACTGACACCGTCCCTAAATCATTGGACTTCGACGTTGAGGGTTTTTGGCACGCGACAATTATCATCGTTTTGGTGTATACCCGAGCACTATCAATAGATGCTCCAAATGGTACAGGGGACAAGGAGCTGAATGCAGTCATTCTGGATGAGAAGGGCGTGTTTCTGTGGCGACCACGAACAATCTAAGGATTGTGTGCGATAGAATTTGCAGGTAGTTGACGCGCTGGTTTCACTGGATGTCACGAGAGATAGGAATCAGGGGGGCTCTTTTGGACTTATCAGAGCCCATTGCTATCCTGAGTTTATTTTCACTTTGAAAATCGTTGCTGGGCCTTCCATCAAGTAGGAGCTCCCGTTTACGAGGCAAGGGTGGTTCAGTACTAGTGCAGCATTGATGCAGAACCGATTTTTTCGACTTTGTCGGCTTAAACGGTGGTAGAACAGCATTTCAGATCTGAGCTCGATAGGGTACGCTGTCGGATCCGTTCTAGAAGCTGAGGCTTGCATAAAACACATTATGTCTAGGGATTCGTTGAAGAAACCGCTCTAAAATGAGCTTGACGAGTCCTACTCGCCACATTGCGTGCCACAGTCGATGGTTCCTCGATGTTTCTGAGGACCCGTATAAACACAAACCAAGGAATTTCAAAAATTGCATGGATGTCGACGATTCAGAATGGGACTGTGCACGTCACTGCATTTTTGTTTTCAAAGAATTGCACCTTGCTCATCCTAGGCAACTCGAAGTCGCTGTCTCCGTAATTTTGGCGCACCCTCTAGTAGGGACTACAAAATGCTCAAACCGCGGATGAGCCCTCCCATTTTTACTTAAAATTCATTACCATACAAATCATCGTTACCCACTTTCCCGGTCCGGGAGGCAATTTTGTCATCGACATCGCGGATTCGGAGTGGGGGCGGATATCCCCGTACTACGTTGTGCTCATAAGATCTGGCCCATGATCCCCGCATCCCGTGAGTAGGTCACTTGGCTGAGATTCGCAATAAATACTAAAGCAATTGTTCCAAAAAGCTTTTGTAAGGATAGCGAGAGCCCTAAAGATTGTGAGGGTGGTGGTCGGAGATTGGACAACGCCAACGATTAGCCGAACGTTCTGGTTGAAGCACGTTTGCACAAATCTATTGAGAGGGTTCCTCCTAAACTAATCGCACTTGCATTGTGTTTTCTTGTTGTACGGGAAGAGCTGGAAAGTCCCAAAAATTCAAATAGGGCGTGACCATTTTGAAGGGTCGTTCGCCGCGTTCTAGCTTGTTTCATGCCATGAAAACGACCTGACTTTTTGATCATTTGCGACGCACGACAAAGAACGGATTCTTTGCTACAGAATACGAACCTTTGGTGATCGACCGCGATCAGGCTCTACAAACTTTGCAAAAGTGAAACTTCACTGAAGGAAGGTTGAGGTGACTTTCATAAGGTCAGCGGCTGGTCTAGCTTTTCGTAACCAGGTGGATCTGTTAATGTGGAAAAAGTACTCCTGATAATGTGTCAAACTACTCCTAGAACTCTGGCACATATGCTCGAAATTCCTCATTATAAAGGAACCGGCTCGTCCCTGACAGGTAGCTCGGACGCACATTCCACAACCAACCCTGCAGAAGTTGGACAAGATTGGCTACGAATTAGTCCTGCGAACATCCTACTCGGTAGACCTTTTGCCTATAATTTGTCACTTTCTCGACTACCTGGATAGCTTCTCCAAAGAGTTATGCTTCAAAAACCAACATGATGCGGAAACGACCTCCGCCGGGTTCATCGTCTCTAGAGCTCCAGTATTCTGCACTACCGGGCTGATTCAACGCAGCTATTATTGGCAGAGGTTTGTGGATTCTAACAGTCTTTACTCCAATCAAAAAGGTTTCGAATGAGCCGAGATACAGGCATTTGAAAATCAAGGTCGAAAAGCGCAAGAACTTTCTTCACGACCTAATATTTTGCTGTTCTACCAATGTTATGTTATCGTTTATCGTTACATGAAGTTTAATTACCCAAGTTTGTTAAACGCCCGTGTGCCTCGACACAAAACACAAGGGTTTGATCACCCCATCCATTTCACTCAATTGTCACTTTGCTTGCTAGTGGACAAAGTGCGAAATATAGCGCGGAGCCTTCCTGATGGCACTAGTATAATCGAGAGAATGAGGATAGACTATACCAGTACTTAGAAAGGTTTTTATGAAATTCCGTAATAGAGAATAGAACCTCCCACGGTGGTGGATGTCCGTTCCTCCAAGTGGTGCCACTGGAAACTGCTCACTTTTGTGAGCTGAGCCGACCACGGACATTCGAATGCAGGCGACAGGCCCCCGTGACAGGCCGGCCTACGAACACCCACGTCACATCACAATGTCAATGTCGCTACATGTATCTCGAGATAATGCTACGGCGTCCGCGGGAGCCGACGCGCACTCGCAAAGCCCGGCGAGTGTGAAAAGTATGCGAGGGTCTCCGGTGCAAGGACGGCATCGGGGGGCAACTAGGCTAGTCCAAAAGTCCCGCAACGTATGGAAGACTCGCGTTGCGACGTTAAATGTTGGCACGTTAACGGGCCGCTCGTACGAGTTAGCAGAAGCTCTAGAGCGCCGAAGAATTGATTTCTGTGCCGTGCAGGAAACGAGGTGGTCCTGCTGCAAGTCGAGGGACATTGGCCGCGGCTTCAAAGCCGTTCTCTGTGGCGGTCCCAGAACCACCAATGGCGTCG